ATAAATGCACGTGTTAGCTTTATAGAGCCTCTCATCTACTTGATTTTTTGTCATTTTTTTCATACAAAAAGGTGTAATAGCCATGATTTTTTAAATTTCAATTCTTTAATTTGCGTCCTTTTTTCTTCTAAATATTATCTTGCAAATCTTGCTTTTTTTCTTACTTATAGTTTTATTGTAACAATTCTTACAATACTTATGTCAGCACAAGGACTCGAAACGAGTATCCCTGACGAGTGAATGGGGTATGCTACTGACTGAGCTATTTTCCCATACATTTATCTTCATATGTATGGCAAATTTTGAAATGTTTTTATTTAACTTTGAAAATATTCCCATGAGAGAAATGTTATGTTTTGTGCTCAAGTTCTATCACATACTAGGCTTCAGAAAATAATTTGAATCATATCATTTATTTCGATTTAAATATACATAACATACAAATAAAATATATAAAAAACCCAAATTTACTTTGGAGAATCGGGTTAAGCTCATTGGGTTCTTATGGTCCATTATGCAACCTCTTATCCATTATAATTTACCAGCTGAACTTTAGATATTTTTTTTTGTTTTTCCGGACTTGTGAAGTTGCCTACCTCTGGTATATGTTTAATTTATATATATATATATATATATATATATATATATATATATATATCTACATACGATGATCTTCCATGATCAACACTTCAATAGTTTTTCATCGTGTAATGCCATCCGTGTTAGGGATTGCATAGTATAATATTCCCATTTGATGACAGGCTAGATTTAAATCGACAGAACGTTTTTTTTATACTATACTAAATTATATTAGTTGTTTATTGCAATAAACATCAAATCGTACCATAACAATGCTTTTTGATTAATATATAACAATGGGCAAGCGCTAATTTAAAACGAAAGTGCAAAATATTACCATCTTTTTATAGCCTACAATATCCATTTAAAGTTTGTTGCCTTTCTAACATTGTATTTTAGATTATGCGTTGTAAATTATGGTTTTATATTGTGTTATAAAATATTATTAAGAATTATGAGTAATAGTAGGATCAATATAAAAAAATTGTTGGTCTTCCGTATTTATCGTTGGTCTTTACTTTGATACGGCTATACATACTAAATATATTTATCATTCTTCAGTTAATGATTATTTATTTTATTATTGATTATTGATCATAATCAATTATTAACAAAGTGAATTATCATGATGCCGTGACTTACTATAATATTTTCCATTGTATTTAATTTAAAGATTTATTAGGATACTTAACCCAAGGTTCCAGTCAAGAATTTGAAAGCAAATGCACCTACGTAGAAAATGTCAACTAATCATAAAAGGGAGTAATATTCGTAAAGATTTAATGAAAAGAGTTTTTTAACTTTTTGAAAGAACAGATCCAATTTTATGTTTTTGACGTTTCATGTCATTCTGGAACTTTTGACATCAAAATTGGAAATAATATCAGTGAGTCCATACTGCTGAATCTTAATTCTTGTTGACTAATATTTGGAAGTTTCCGCAACTTGCCTTAAGAAAAAATGCCACTTACAACTAGTACAAAATATTATTCAGATGTTTGCTTATATTTCATTTCTTCAGTAAGTATTTTTCGTCTTGCATAATTTTAAGAATCGTTCAAGCATCGACTTCGAACTTTTCTTCTCTCATGGCGTTTACCTTTACATTACATGCTGAAATTTATATAATTCAATTATTATCGAATGATGTAATAAAAATGACATAAATCATTATTGTGACAGAATGCGTATCAGAATTTTCAGTCATTCGTGAAATTTTTCCATTGAATACAGATTTAGTTGACAAACTATATAATCTAAAAACTCTAGTATTAAGAAATGGCAATGGTTGGCAAAATAATTTGCGGGTGAGTGGTATCGTTTCGAAAAACTTAATTTGAAATCGGTAATATATATATATATATATATATATATATATATATATACTAGCCGGCAAACAATTTCCCATATTTCTTATTGTAACTAACTTATTGTAAATGTGGAAGTAAAATTTAAGTTTTCCATGAGCTCAAGAAAATTTTAATTGAAATGCGGTGAAAAAACATTTACTGACTGAAAACGAAATGAAAAATTATTCAATTATTTCTTTTTGGCAAGAGGGTGATTTAGGGCTGTATGTATTTTTTATTCAAACTAGATCTAAAGTTCTGGCGTTTCATTAACAAAACTTGTATGAATTGTTTTTTATTTGTTATATATGAATTAATATTTAATAATAAGTTCTTCTTATAAACTATTGTCTCAACTGGCAATTAAGTTTAAAATTTCTTTATTCACATCTCTCTTAAAAGTACATTTACACGCATATCACAATTCCATTAAATAGTTAGCATGTTGAATAATGAAATGATTACTGGTTGTCAACTTTTTGTAATCGTTTTAGCAGTTTCTCTCTCCGATAGTTACGACAAAATTAATTGTATGTTATGTTTTCTAAGAATATTATTCTTTATTGTTGTCCTAAATTCTGGACATATTGCATCGAGCAAGATAAAAGTAATTGAACTATGTAATGTTTTTTTTTTTAAATAAAAATTCAACTATTTTTTGCCACCTAATTAGGCAAATGCAAATCTAATTGCATTTACTTAATTTTAAGTCATAATGATTGATGAAGAATACAGAATCGAGTCGAATTTCGAATTAAATGAGTTTGTTGGAAAAGTTATTTTTTAATTGCTTCGACTAATTATAGGAAAAAATAAACAATATTTTAGTACCTATTTTTGACAATGACAAAATTCTATCTATCAATTTTCAATCATTCAAATAAACGACTATTCGAACTATATAACTGAAAATTCGCATAACTTATTCTCTGGGTTGATATGTTTCTTTGGGGTACATACTTGGTAATCATTTTCTGTATATTTGTGTATTTATATTGACTTTTTGATCTTTCAGTCATTTATAAATTATTATATAACATCTTATTAAATCTGATTGTGTATATTGTCAAAATCTTTATTCGCTCGATTGAATTTTAAACCGCAATTGCATAATATCAATTTAATGGTAACATAATCTGCTCTTTATAGAGACAATCAAATAGATCATTGGAATAAATGAACTGGTATTAAACTGAACTATTATTGTGAAAATTAAAAATTATTTGTATAAACTTATGCCTCAACATAAATTAGTAAAGGTTTCATATAATTATTTTTAATAAAAAAATTATCAAATGTGTCATATAATTCGCGATTAAGACGACTCATTTCATAATTTTTAGTATCTAATTTTAAATTTTGTCAAACTTCTTTAAAATTCATACAGATTTTCTAATATTCTTTCTATAAAAATGGTAAATCAGTAAATTCTTTAAGTTGGGACTGAGTTTGTTTTCCAGTAGTGTTATATTTTTATCATAAACCAAGGTGAAACGTTTAGAAACAACTTAGGCTAGCAATTTCTAGTCCCAGATTGAATCCAGCCTTCGTCGTCTTGGTATCGAGCAGTAGTATATCAGAATTTTATTAAATTTCAAATCTGATCTTGGGCATTGCTGCAACATGGAAGAGAGAGAGAGTACATATAAATGCTCAAAATGTATATAATCCCAGTTACAGTTTTTAAAAAGCACCAAATTGGTAAAAGTTACATACAAAAATATTTTTTAGTGGAATTATCAAATGTATCAGATAATAGAGTACGTGAGGTAAAAGTTACATACAATTATTTTTAACAAATTTCTTTTTAATGGAATTATCAAATGTAACAGATAATAGAGTACATATGAGTGCACAAAGTGCAAAGCACACTATAGATAAATAAACATAAAAATTAAATAAATAAAAATTATTATTGAAATGAAGCACACACTGTTGCTCTTTAAGTTAACTAAAAGACAATCAAATAGAGCAATGAGATAAGTGAACTGATGGTATTAAATTGAATTATTAATGTGAAAATTGAAAAAATATTCGTATAACTCACGCATCAACAAAAAAAAATATTATTAAAAAAATGTATCAATGCTTTAACAAAAAAATTACTATTAAAAAGGATGACCATAATGATGACGATAAATTTAAAAGAAAAATAAAGAAATATTATAAGGAAATTGAAGACAAAGAAGACTAAAGAGTTATATAAAGATATTTTAATTATAATAGATATTATATTAATGAAATAGTATAAAATATGAAAACTGTTTCCATAATCTCTCATACCAGGCACCTCTGTCTGTGTGAGATATGAAAATAATATATATCAGATAATAGAGTACATATGAATGCACAAAATGTATATAACACAGTAACAGTTTATGTTAAGTGAAATTCTAAAAAATTCACCAAATTGGTAAAAGTTACATGCAATTATTTTAAACAAACAATTTTTTTTTTTTGATGAACTATCAAATGTACCAGATGATAGAGTACTTGGGGTAAATGTTACAATACAATGTTACATACAATTATGTTTAACAAAAAAAATTTTTTTAATTATAAAATTTATCAGATAATAGCGTACATATGAGGTAAAAGTTACATTTACAATTTTTTTTAGCGAAATTAGTATCAGATAATAGAGTATGTAAGTGTACAAAGTGCAGAGCACACACCGTTGCAGTTTATGTTAACTAAAATTATAAACTGCAATGAAAAATTAAAAAAAAAACTCAATCCTTTGCAAAAAAGAAGCAAATTAATGGAGATTTTATACAATTATTATTAACAATAAGAAATTTTAATGAAATTATCATCAAATGGATCATATAATAGATAATAGAGAACAAATGATGGATTGAGTCTACGTTTAAGCATTGAGGTGTAGAGTTAGTAGAGTAGCCGAGGCCGAGGCACCTAGTTATTGATCGTTTACATTTTTGCTATGCTTTTGTGAAACGGTATATAAAATTTCTTTTACAATATTTGATCGTAAGAATGATACATTATATTTATTAATACTATTTTAATGTTTTTCTATTTTTCTTATTTATAGAGTCAGTGTAATCCACGATGGCTTCGGCTTCGAGTAGTAGCGCGAGGTCCTTGTTCAGCGACTCGAAGCGCCGGCTGGCAGAGCGGGTCCAAGTTAATGTACAGAACGCGGCGTCCGTGGCGCGGCAGATTGTGAGAGGATCGCGTTCTACCGAGGTTTTTATCTTTACTCATTAACATAATAATAATTTATTCATTAAATTTGAATCTAAAAGTATCTGAGATGTTATAAAAAATAGGATAGAGCCATAGAGTGCTAAGGATAATTTAAAAATCCGCTCCCCAAGGATCCGTTTTGAGTTAACACCATTTCAAATTTTAATCACCTTTGTACTACTACTGAGAGGGTCATCTCTAACTCAGATACATCTCTATGCGTTTAACCTTAATTTTGATTTTCCAGTTCGTTTATATCAAGTCAACATAAATAAAGTCACATCAAATACTATATCCTTTATACAATGAGTACTTTCGATGGATTTATCCCCGAAATCCCTGGTATATCAGTAGACAAATTTCTGCCCCAAAATCTCGAATCCTCCTTATTTTTTCTATCCCATTGCCATCAAGATCATATGGTAGGACTCAAAGAAGCCTCAGAGGAGACCGTCGACTTTCCTGGGAAGTTATATGCAAGTCCTATATCAGTTGTGTTTTTAAAACAACAATTTCCCAGACTTGAAGACCATTTAGTCGAATTAGACATAGGACGTACGTTGCAATTGATATAAATTTATAGATTATTAAGATATTTCACACCTTTATATATTTGTAGATCCTAAATTAATCCATTTACTAAATGATAGTCAAGATGAATCTCTGTATGTTACCGCGCTGCCTGCAGGACATTGTCCAGGATCTGTTATGTTTCTATTTGAAACAAATACCTCTAAAATTTTATACACAGGAGACATAAGGTTGTCTGTAGGTTCTTACAAAAAAATGCAAAGACTGCATACTGCCCAAGGAACACCCAAAATATTCAACAATATTTATTTAGATACAACTTTTTTTGATGAGGATTACAAATATTTTCCATCACAGTTTGAAAGCTTCGAAGAAATTTTTAGGATATCAAATAAATGGTTAAAATCAAACAGCAAAAATATAGTTCTATTACAATTACCTGCAAAGTATGGATCTGAATTTGTATTTATTGAACTAGCGAAAAGGACATCTATGCCGATTCATGTATCACAGGATTTATTTGATCAATATAAATATATATCAGAAATAGACAAATCGGTCACATTAGATGCATCAGTTACAAGAATTCATGCATGCCAGTATAATAAATCGTGTGAGGATTATCATGAAGGTAGTAATAAGATTAAATTGCTTATTAAACCATCTGCAATGTTTTGGAAGAATTGGCAGAAAGATAAACCAATCTCAAATATAAATAAGAACTGTGTGCGAGTTTGTTACTCTAGCCATGCAAGCTTTCAAGAATTACAAGATTTTTTAAATTATTTTCAACCAAAGACTTTTACACCTTGTGTAGTTTTACAAAAGTATGAGTTTGCAGATTTAGTGAATAAAGTATTGTTTGAAATAAGTAACAAACAAACAAAGAAAACAAAATGATTTGTACAAGTGGGACAAGAAAATATTAAAAAAGAAATATATGTCATAAATAAAATTATAAAACGAAAATTCACACAAGTGCCAAATCCTGAGGATAGAAATAATGCATGTTTAAAAAAACATAACTTTGATTCGGAACTATGGGATGAATCTGATCTTATAGAATAAAGATAAATATTGTGATTTACTAAATATATTTTATATAATCATACTGCTAGTTGAAATATACACAAGCACAATTTTATAACATTTACATATATATATTTACAAATCATTCCTTTTGATATATAACAAATTTCTTTGCATCTGAAAGAGTTAAAAATATATTAATTTAACATACTCAACTTAGTATTAAACTATATTTTTTTTATTTAGTTTTTAAGTTTGTAGAATTTTGGGTATGAGTGAAGAAGTATTAATTATCTTGTCCGATGATAATTTTTATAAGTAAACCTACTAGAAAACAAACATTCAGTCTTACTGCATATCCTAGAATTTATAATTTATTACCAAATTTGTTATTACTATGTGATTTGTACTACGATTAAACTAAAATTAAGCAAAAAATTAAGGAATATATTTTAGGTATTTGTTCTGAAATGATTAAAGCTGTAAATTTGACTAGTTCTATTAGTCAATTATTTTTTTACTTTCATATTTATTCTCAATTTTTGCCTCCAACGTTTTAAACTGCATTTCTGACACAACATCTTCTGGTCCTTTAACTTCTTCAACTCGTACTACCTCGGGTATATAAAATTGTAGCATATTTTGAACACCGTTCTTCAAAGTGACGACAGAACTTGGACATGTTGAGCATGAGCCTTGCATTTTTAAACTTACCTATAGATGTTTAACTTATTAGATAATTTTTGGAAAATGATATGCAATATAGAATCCATATTTACCACTCCATCTTTGAAACCCATAAATATTATATCACCACCATCTTCTTGAACAGTCGGTCTAATCCGAGTGTCTAGTAACTCTTTGATCATCATAACAGTCTCTGAGTCCTCTTCATTAATTTCTATTATATATCGTGATATTATTATTATTGTCCTTCATGCTATCAATATATTTATACTCACGTGTATCAGATGAAGGTTTTGCTTCTGTTAAAACTGGTAGACCACTTGCAAAGAAATCCATTATAGTAGCAAATAATTCAGGTTTAAGTACTTTCCATTCAACATCTTCATTCAATTTAGTTATTGTTATAAAGTCGTGTCCAAAAAATACACTCTTAACTCCCTCAATTCGAAACAATAATTTACCTGATGTGTTCAAGGATTATATTAAGGATCTTGATGATTTTTAAATATTATTTACCTAGTGGGCTGCAGAAGGCTTCGTTGGCTGTAGGGAAATCCATCGTGTGGCCTGGTTTTAATATTTCTACTCCGGGGAAAAATTTAAGACTGTTTGGGTTTGGAGTATCTTGGGTTTGGATGAACATATTTCTAAATAATGGGGTTTGTAATTTTGCCAGATTTATATTAGAACCTTTGCTTGATAAAGAGTGATACAGTTTTGTATCAGTGGGTTGAGATCTGAAATAAATATTTTCAATTTGAGTAACCTCAAATGGCTAATAATTGAATATATTGTTATTTAATTTCTTACGGATATAATTTAACATTTTTTGACAAAGCGGTGTAACTGGAAAATTTAACGAGCCTTTTATACATTTTTAATTCTATATTAATCTAATTTCAATTTAATATAATTTATTTGCGCAATTACATGCCAATATTTGAACTGTCAAGTTGACATTGACAGTTACCACCATTAAACCTTTAGTTGAAGTGAATTTATTAAATATTTTTAATTATTTGATATAGCAAGCTTTATACAGTATTTATACAATTTTTTAGGTATTTAATATAACAAGTTTGATTATTCTATATTACATTTACTATAAATTATATTCAAAATTGATTTATTATATTCCAGGTTTTGATGCATTCGGCAAGAGGTTTCGTGGCCCAAGAAAATGCTATTGAAAACAGTTTGGCTAATTTAAATAAGATGCAACTTGTTTTGGCACATTTAAATTATCAACATGATTCTATGGCAAGATCTTCACGAGAAATATTAGAATTAGAGGAAAATATAAAGGCTTTGAAGTAACATATTAAATATGTTTCTTCTTTCATAAAACGGAACACAGAGAAAGTTTAAATTATTAAAAATATTGTTTTCATATGAACTACATAAAGCTTCAACAATAAATATCCACTTCACTATTTAATCTGGCCAAGATTCAATTTTGATGCTTGTGAGTACAAAATTATAAATCCTGTTTTTTATTAATAAATATTGTAAAATTCAACCTGTTGGTATTATTATTATCATATTACTTGTACCATTGACATTTTATTTCAGTTAAACTTTGCTTTAAGGAATTATTTTTTGTAATCTGTCAACTGTCAATTGCATTTTCGTTTTCAAAATATTGCATTTGGCGCTCTTTTGAGTGCAGTGCTGGCGCCAAAACATAACATCGGGTAACACTAATTTCTTTCATTGCATTTATGGCGCTTTATTTTCTTGTTTTGTTCATGTCAACAGGTTAAATGTACAATAAACGTATTTCATTGTTGCGCGCGATGCTAAATATTGTAAAAGTGTTAATTAAATGAGTGGTTCGAGATATGTTTACATGATATTTATATAAGGTAATTATTGTTTTCCATCTTTTACACGTATAAAATAAATTTACTTCAACGTCTCGTCGTCGACAGGTTATATTTACAGCTCAATGTAAATTTTTTTGAGTATGTTGAATGTTTTGTTAATTTACATTGTAAGATATCGTGGTCTATCTAAAGCACTGAATGTATTTGAAAATTTAATTTTGTTCTAAATGCATTAGTAACTTATGTGCTTTTAAAAATCACTTTCTGTATTATTATTTTCAGCAGTCTCTAAAGTTACAGGTTTATGAAATGTATGTAATTTGCACCTAAAGATGTTCTATTCTATTCAATATGTTGTTTTAAATTGCATAAGTCTATTAAACAAACCTTCCAGCTTCTAGAATGGCTCAAACACCACATGGTTGTCGGTTCCCCCCAACACCACAATTATCTGCTAGGAAAAGGGAGCTGTTTCCTAGCCCTCTAAACAGAAAACAGCCTTTTGGTTCTATCCTCTCTGAAATTGATACAAATACACCAAGGCGATCTACTCGTATTGCTAATAATAAACTTGTGACAGTTTGTGAGGCAGATGAAACTACACCTTCATCCAGACACTTATATTTAAGTGATAATTCTTCAGATTTAGGACATATGAGTCCACTGGAATTGAGTTCGAGTCCAGACCGTTATGATTCTCCTTTCCATAACACCCCTTGTTTAGGTCTGTATTCAGGAATCATTCAAAGAGTGTGGGAAATGATTAATAATAATGGTGTTACTGGTTAACGGAAGCATGGTGCATTAATAGTATTGAAGCATGATCATTTTATTCAGTAATGTAATAGGTACTAATTGTCACACATTGCAATAATTAATAATAATAATTATGCTTCTAACAATCTATAAGTTAAAAATTGCTGACATAATCAGTATTTGCTTATATATATGGTTGTATGGTATATATGGTAAATTATATTACTTGAATTTCTCACTTTTTAATATGTATATTTTCAAATCAGAATATTTATTTGCTGCATATCAAAATTGTATTCTTAGAGATTTTCTTATGTGTGTTATATGACTAGTAATTTAATTGTTATTACCATACATAATAATACATTTATTAACTATGTAATTCACTTGCTCAATGTATAAGCTTTACTAGCATTTCTTCAGTCGATTTGCCTTATTTTCTATGATAAAGCATGCTTTAATGATATTTTTTTATAGCTGGTGACTGCATAATAAAGATCATTTTCTTCTAGCAACTTCTAGTAAATATTCATATCCAGTTTGCATCATTATTCATGAGAAAGCATGTTTTTAATATTTTTTAATAGCTTTAATACTATTTGAATATAATTATAAGTCCTTGCCAAAACAATTTTCAATATTAACAATCTATTACTAATTAGATACACCTTCTGCACTTCTGGCTCGACCTAGATTTTTTGCTAAGAAGGGCAAAGATATTTCTGAATATACAAGTTTTGAAGATCTTGCTAGTAAAATTGATGATGATGAGGGAATGCCATTGGTGGATGTAAATCCTGAAACTCCAAGAAAAAGTTTTTCTGGTATATTTGTTAGGAAAGATCCTTTGCATGACAAAGAAAATATTGAGAATCGAAATATTAACACCATATATAAAGAAGATATTGAATCAATATTGGATGAAGACAGTATAGTACCTGAAACTCCAGAGAAGCATTCTCCAAGTGCTAATTTGAGGACACCACATGAGATTTCCTTTGAGAATGTTGAACCACCTAAGTTGTATCATAGAAAGTCTTTAACTGAAGTGAGCTCATCGAATGTGAAGGAGAATGTGTCTAAACTGAAAAGACACTTGTCGAAGGATTGCTTTGATACTGTTCAAAACAAAGTGCCTAAGTTAACAGAACAAGCTCCTAAGGCAAGAACATCTTTGTTCTCAACTAAATCATTTTATCCACAAGTACAAAGAGAGAGTACAATGTCTTCAAAAATTACTAATTATTTTGGTTCCATCAAGAATGATGATTTAACAAATAGATCACATGCAAGGAGATCTCAAAATCATCGAGTCATCAGAAAAACCAGAAAGGATGGTCAAATTAATTTGGGTGTACAACATAAAATTCGTAAACCAAAACCCAAGCGCCCAAACACAACCCAATTGCTCAAAGCAGCTTTAAATATTATGGATAATTCACCTTTAAATAGTTATCTGAATAATTCATTTACAACTGAAAATATTAATGGTACTGATAATAACCCACTAGCAACAAATTCTAATAATAATCAAACACTCAATACATCTTTTAATAGTTGTTTTTCTGAAAAAACTGTACATAGAAATCCTGTGAATGAATTTTCTATATCTCTAAATATTACTGAAAATGATAATTCCAATGAAGAAAATGAGGAAAATCGTCCAGCAAGAAAGTTCTTCAAGAGTAAAAGATCACTTGCAAATAAATTAGTTAAATTACAAGATAATTTGATTATAAATATCAAATCAAAAAATGATAAAGAAAAGGAAGTTAACAAAAGTGCTGACTTTAGTTTTAATACTAGTGACTCATTCAAAGAGGCTGATGGTTAGTATATATTATTCTTATTTATTTATTATATTTATATATTATTTATTTTACAACTGTATTTTATATTCTAGGTGATTTGACCAAAGTGCAGAGCGAAGTTGAAAAGTTGCTCTCTGAATGGAAAGATTCTGATGAATCATGGCAAGAAGAAACTGCAAATCGAATTTTAGATAATGAGGATAGTTTGGTGCTTGATTGCCAAAAACTATCCATCAACAATAACAATGTTGATGCAGGTTTATTATCACCTACAAGCCAATTGAGCAATATGACCTCAGTTATGGCTTTGGATAGTCCTGCCATTGCCTCAAATGCATCAACTGAACAGACGAATAATAATAATAAACTATATCCATTGTTCTATAAAGGATTTGATGGTGGTTAGTATAAATGATTCAAATTTAAACTTTATTATGTGATTTAATCTTTATGCTTGTGATTTAGGTTCAGCAGATGTTTATGATAATTCTTTTAAAAAAACTCGTTCCAAGAAGATGTGGAAACCTCATAAAATTCCTCAATATCAGTTGGATGCTGGTCAAAAGAAAATTGGACTGACTTATTGTGCAGAATGTGATTTTGTATATGAGGTATAAATAATTATAGACACATTTTATATGTTTATAATTAATAGACACTGTTTACATTTTTGATTAATTAAGACACATTTAAGATTTTTATTATTAACTAATAGAAACATTTTAGGTTTTTATTATTAAATAATATGCACACTTTAGATTTTTATTATTAATTATTAGACACACTTTAGGTTTTTATTATTAAATAAGACACATTTTAGGTTTTTATTATTAATTAATAGGCACATTTTAGATTTATATTATTAACTAATAGGCACATTTTAGATTTTTATTATTAACCAATAGATACATTTTAGATTTTTATTATTAACTAATAGGCACATTTTAGATTTTTATTATTAACCAATAGATACATTTTAGATCTTTATTATTAACTAATAGACGCATTTTAGATTTTTATTATTAACTAATATACATTTTAGATTTTCATTATTAATTAATAGACGCATTTTAGATTTTTATTATTAACTAATAGACACATTTTAGATTTTCATTATTAATTAATACACATTTTAGATTTTTATTATTAATTAATACACATTTTAGATTTTTATTATTAATTAATACACATTTTAGATTTTTACTATTAACCAATAGATACATTTTAGATTTTCATTATAAATTAATAGACACATTTTAGATTTTTATTATTAATTGACACATTTTAGATTTTTATTATTCATTAATAGACACATTTTAGATTTTTACTATTAACCAATAGATACATTTTAGATTTGCATTATTAACTAATAGACACATTTTAGATTTTTATTATTAATTAATACACTCATTTTATATTTTTATTATTAAGACACATTTAGGATTTTTATTATTAATTTATTGACATATTTAAGATTTTTATTAATTGACACATTTAAGATTTTTATTAATAATTAATTGACACATTTTAGATTTTTATTATTAATTGACACATTTTAGATTTTCATTATTAATTAATAGACACATTTTAAATTTTTATTATTGACCAATAGACACATTCAAGATTTTTATTATTAATTAATGGACACTTTAGATTTTTATTATTAATTTACACATATATTTTTATATTATATTCTTTATTTAAATATTTATGTTGTTTTAGGTTGCTGATCCAGATGAGGAATTGTTTCATTACAATTATCACAATTCCCTTCATATTCTCAACTTTAAAGTAAGTCTTATAATATTTATGTGACATAATTATAAACTATTGATCAATTACGTAAAACAATTTTTACTTTATTTTTTTTAGGGCTGGAAGAATGAGAGCGTCATAAGCGTTCTAGTGAATGTTGGCCGTGTTATTCATATCAAATGTAATTCTCCTAAATCCTGGTTCAACAGAGTTCAACAAGTCCTAGAACTTGTTGATAATGAAATAGGAGCTTTCTCTGAACCATTTGAACTCGATGAATCATCTCAAGTCAGTTGAATTTTTGTTTGTAAAACTCTTTTGAAGAATTTGAGTTAATAATGTAATTCGTTCTAGGTGTATTTGATGGCCAATGCCAAACAAATCATTGGAATCTTGTTAGCAAAGACTTTGAGTAAAGCACATCGTATGATCAGCAGCATTGACAGTATAGATTTGTGCACTGAGGAATCATTTGATGTCAAGTGAGCAAAACTTTAGCAAGCAATTCTATTTTTTTATCATACTTTTTTTTAATCTATCTTTTACCCTTGTAGATGTGGTATCTCACGGCTTTGGATCGCGCCCCCTTTTCGCCGAAAAGGATATGCAACACATATGTTAAATGCCATGAGGTGCAATTTTATGTTTGGCAAAGTTTTAGATTTAGATGAAATAGCCTTTAGTTCACCGACGGAAGCTGGTTTAACTCTGGCTAAAAAGTTCTCAGGACGTGAAGATTTTTTAGTTTTTCAAGAAGCTTAATTTTATAATACCAAATATAATGTATATAGGAATGAAATGAATTTTATATTGATTTTTTTTTAATATGCCGTTTATTGGCACAGTGATTTATGTTGCGTCTTTTGTACTAAAATGTAATATATATTTAGTCAACTTTTAAATATTAATATCGAATATTTAGTTCTAAAGATATTTAATTTTAGATTATATAAAGTTAGTTTTGTGAAGTTGATAAATGATACATAAACAAATGTATATTGAAGATTTATTTTTATTGTATTTAAATATTTTTAAAAGCATATTTGTTTTTTGCAGCCACTGATCTTCTTAATTCCATTGAAATTCTTTTTACAGCAGCGTTGTCCCAATATTTCAATTTTCAGGATAAGAAGTTTCAAGAACATTTCTCAATCAGGTTCGGCTTTTTGATTATCTTTAATAATTGAAGAATTAATATTCAATTATTAATTTTTATTTGTTAAATAAAAATTAATAATCAATATTATTAAAAGCTCTTGGTAATTGATAGATATCAAATTATATTTTCCATAATATTGCATCAGTATATAAAATGTACTTTGTGTTAGTTTTTGTCATAAAAATATTGTTTTTTTTATATTAATTTGTTTAATTTGTTGATTTCATATAATGATTTGTTTGATTTAATAGTGTTGATGCAATTTTAATGAAAATAGCCATACACTGTTTGAGAAGACTTTTATGTTTTTGCCGCAGAATCCGAATTGCTAAAATTTTGTCTTCTTGACGTTTCAACTTATTCTGAAGCCTTTGAGAATAAAATTGAAAAATGTATGTGAGCCAAAATTTGTCTTTTCTTCAACGTTTTCTATAAAAAAAACGGCTGCACAATTTCTAAGATTTAAAAACCATTTATCATAAGTAGTTATATTTTCAATCATCAGTGTAACAATTATGCATTTTACAAAAATAAGCTAATTTTTAATTTGTTTAATTTAAAAAAAAAACATTGATATAAATAGTAATGGGAAGAAAATAAACTATAAATTATTTCCTGTGAAATTAAAGTATTTTCAAGAACATACTTATATATATTTTTTTTGTTTAATAAAATTTATACTATAAGGCACGTTGTCTGGTGTAAGAGGCCACAGTAATCATTTTATGCAAATTCTGTTACATAATTTACTAATATTTATTATAATACTAAATTTTATCGATTTTTTTGGTAGTTGCAACACTATTTATTAGAAAATTATTTTCCAATCAGGTAAATTTCCCTTTGGAATCAAATTAGAATTCATTCTTAGTTCGGAGTCGGTTCGGTGTACTACAAATTTGTCGATACGTATTTTTCGGGATCGTAATTTGTGTGTAATTAAAGTATTTGTAAGTTTTATAAGTTTAATGCTAATTTCACTAAAATTATGGTGATTTTAATATAGAACACGATTTTTAAGGCAGTGTTGTGGTTAATGTGCAAATAAGTGCTTTTACGTACGATTTTACATAACTAATAATCATTATTAGTCTTTGTCCCATACATAAGTTTTGAGACAATTAAAATATAATAGTTATCAAAGTGATTAAAATATTTTTACCTAAAATATAATTAATTAAATAGTATTTGGCAATCCTATAAAGATTGTTATCGCCGAGGTTTAATAATTGGTTTCATATTGGAAAAGCACGTGTTTATGGCTTCAGATGGACCAGAGAGGATTTTAGACCCCGAATAATAAGGTGAGTGTATTTTATATGTTTTTTTATCTAAATATGATTTTTTACTTTCATTAAATTTGTAATACCTAAGGATTTATTTATTATTTATATACCATTCCATTACAACTTGCACTGAATATTTAATTGTATTCCACACATATCATCAATAAATATTAATTAATATCGATTGATTGATTGATTTCAATCAAATAAATTTATTCATAATGTTAATTATTTATAAGGCCCATAAACTTAATAAAAATAATAAATTAAATTTATTCTAATTGTTCTAATTGTGTAAAGTTGTACATATACATTTCATAACTTAAACAATTGTTTCATCTAATCTAAAGTAACAACAATAGTTACTGTATTATTTATTTTTCATACTCTAATATCATTTGTCATCATACTGATGGTCTTTCATTAGATACATAATTATGTAATATAACTAGATATTTTAATAATAGTTGGAACAAAAATTGAAATTTTAAACTATATAATTTATATCATATTCTTTTCTTAAATCATAATATCACCAAACACTGCGAACAATTATATATAGCTAATGTTGCTGGATCCTCATCAATTGATTATTATTGATTAATCCTGTTTTATACATATCTGTATGTATCTGTATGTGCTATTATATACAATTATAATTGCTTGTCACTATATATCTTTTCCAATAACAATAAGATATATCGTATTTATAATTAAATTCAGAATCTTTTACCTTCTACCTTCTACTATTGTAAGACGAATATGTGGAGTCGATTTATCCTTCAAGCAAACGATGATTTAACTCTCCATTGCCCTAAGACACAAATCAATATATGTAATTCTAAGATTGAAAACAATTTGTCAAAGAAATAATAGAA